CCCCAAAACCCCAAAACCCCAAAACCCCAAAACCCCTTGCTTTCTATGATTATTGAAATAAAATATATTTACTGGTTTATTCCTCCCAGAAATTTTCAAGTGATTTATCAAGATAATCCTCAATAGGGAACGGTTCAAACGGTTTATGCTTCTTCTTAGTCTTCTTCTCGCCATCTCAGGATAAATAATTCCGCCTAAAGCCTAAAAATTATGAATATTTCTGATCCAAAAACTGACCTACTTTGGTTCGCATTTTTAATTCAATTGTTTATGGTGCCTTTGAATTCATACAAGGACTGGTGCATGACTCTTAAGGCTGAATCGATCCTTTTAAATTTAGAATATTGCATTTTGCTAAGAGGTCTCCCTGTGCTATTTATCCGACTTTTAGGCCTGACTCTCTTATGAGGTGAAGTTTTACTAGAAAGTCTGATCCTCACTGCACCATTAAGAACCTTTTTACTATGAATCAAATTCTTTTTTAGCCTAGCTGGAGTTTCAAAATTGGAATACTGTCCCAAAGATCTACTTCTATCATGACTAGGCTTTGACAGTAGAATTCGACTGTTCAAGGGGATAGCCTTCGAAGCAGCCTTGGTGAAGTTGATACATGGTATGAACTTTGCATGGTGAACTTTAAGCGGATTTCTTTTAAACTTAGAATCTGACTTTTTATTCTGCTTACTAGAAAAGTTTATAGTCAACTTATTCATCTGAGTAGACTCTTCGCCTCAAACTGAACTTGAGGCGATCATACTGGCTATATTGCCCTTGCTCTCTAGTATAGTAGAAATCCTCTCACCACTTGAGATGATTGATTTCTTTGGAGAGCCAATCGAAGATGTTTGGAACATACTATTGTTTTTCTTATGAAACTTCTGAATTGAGATTCTTCCAGAATTATTTAGCATCTTTCGGGCTATGATTACCTGAGCGGATTGCATTAGACCTTGGAATTCTAGCTTTGAAGCTTGAATTATTTCTGAGAAGTTTTAACTTTCTCTCTCCTCGAGAAATAATCGTGCTATTTTCTAATCAAAATAGGGCTATCAGCAGTATTATAGTGATAACTCATTTTTAAGTCGTCTGCCATAGTATTCTTAATATTGTTCATATTCTTCTCAAATACAGCTTTGAATGTTTCTGGTTGGTTAAATAATTTTTTCTAGAAGCTTCTTTTTCTCATTCCTCTTATTTTCGTAATGCTTTCCTTCTTTCTTTAGCCTTGTCTTTCTTTTTATTTATTTTGGATTGCTTGTATTAACTTATTCCTTCTGTCATGGTCAAGTCTTGACATCTCAAATGAACTATTCATAAAGAGGGTCCCTTTAGAATTTCAGTCATCATTTAGTAGGACTGAACTAAACATGAAATTTAATCCTTTAAACCTTACTCTTGTGTTTCAGATTGATCGTAATTCATAAATACTTTTTAATTTATACAATAAATTTTGTAAAAATTGGGGTTTTGGGGTTTTGGGGTTTTGGGGTTTTGGGGTTTTGGGG